AATGTACATTCTAACAGGTACAAGTTAAAAAAAAAAGGGGGGGGGGAGGGAATAAGCTTTATCAAGCTTTCAAAGTGGGAGTACAACACAAGCAATTTTCAACTCATGCTAATGAATAGTGTAAATGTACATCAGTATACTTTATTTCTGCTAAGAATATCCAAAAGGAGGACACACAAAAAATCTCATTACCCTTGTACCAAACACCTGTACTTCTGTTGTGAAATTTGCACCAGTGCTAGGCATAATATGAGTGAGTAGCTGTTTGACACAATATGCATGTAGAATTTACGAACTCTAATCTGTATTTACCAACAAATTCCACATACTAAAAACGTTGCACTGCTACTGAACTACAGCTAAGTTCAAACCATATTATTCTACTTAAAAGCTAGGGCTTATGGGGTAAATTTTGAATTACTGTACTAAAATCCATCTGTTTCTTCTCCCAGAAAGGAAACAGCAACCCATGCTACACAGTACATCCTATGATATAGTACATGCTGTCTATCAATAGTCTTCCCTCCAGGTGGGAAGCAGCTATTTGCTGTATAGGAATAGTGCCCCCCACCATAAAGCTGTATATTTTTCCTCCAACATTCAATATTGTAGTTTAGCATCTCTAGTTTCACTGAGACAGCAATTCATTGAGGGCCAACCCAAGTTCTTTGCAAGCACCTAAAGTTGTGCTTTCTGCATATAAACAACAGGATGGGAGTATACAAAGTGCATCCCAGTCCATATGCCCCCAATGTTTTTCAACACACACACACTGGGCCAACTCCTCTCCAGGGCTAAGGGACGACAATTCTGCCACATTATTGCCCCACATTCTGTTTCAGGCCAACATTATTGCCCCACATTCCGTTTCAGGCCAAGGGGGCTTTCTCCTAAACCTGAAGTGATTTGTGGTCGAGAAAAAGGCTCCTCCTGGATCTAAAAGAAGCCACAGAGGCCCCCAATTTCACCCCAGCGGTGGAATTGCCCCATGATATGTACAAGGCACAGGTGAGGATTTTTCAGTCTCAATTTTTGTTTTTAAAGGTGTTTTTTTTTCCAGGCAGGTGGAGGCATGGGGAACATGTGGCTGTCAAGAAGACTTCCCCAACAAGTAAATAGGGAAAACAATATTGCTGTGTACCATGTGTTTTACTAACATTTTGTCTAGAGTTAAAATTTTAGTTAGGCCAACAACTAAATCCTTTCAGATATACATACCTTGGAAGCCTGATGCTTAAAGTCAGCTGCTTCTATCAGGTATTTCTGGCTATTAGCTTACTTCTCTTAATTACTGTTCATATGTCATATACATTTATGTTGCTTGCTGTATCATGCATACCAAAGTAGAACATCAGCATATTTACTTGGACATAATGCCTTGCCTACAATATACCGTGATCTATATATACTTGGCCACTCTGTGCAAGCATGTAATTATAAAAACAGGTAAGCACTAAAGATCCTTATGCCACTCTCTGCAACCTACTTTTTCCATTTTTAATGATTCTGGATTCCATTTTGGTATGTCAACACAGTTCGGAACATAAGCAAATTACACATTATTATCTAGGACTCGAGTCTACATGGAGGAACTTGACCAAGGATGATTCTGTAACAATGTAAGGATCAAAAATGTTCTTTAAAACTAGCAAATACATGAAGTATTCAAAGAACCAAGAGCAGAGTTTGATGAGTTCAGGGGAACTTTATAGAGTTTCCCAACACAACAATTGCCCCTATTGCACTACATGACAAGCTTGAAGATCTCGAACATGGTGCAAGTGTCAACTGACTGAAGTAAAAATTCTACTGCATAATACAATCTGTGCGAACCTAAGCAGCTCTTTGGATCCCAGACAATATTTTCAAGTCTCACAATGCTATTTATTCATTTTTGGATTCCAATTTTGACTTCATTTGGATTAATTCTTGTCTGGGCCAGGATTCCCCACAAACCATTCCATACATACCTCTCCCTTCCCTGCAAGCTAAAAGCATCCCATTATTTCACTTGTTTACAGCCATATTTGAGTTCTTTTATAGAGCCTGAGGCCCACAATACTCTTATACTGTCTCAGTCAGCATGGCCCCTGAACTGTCAGAACTACTATTGCCCACTTTAAGGTAACTGTACAGGAAATGTCTACAATGTCATTGCCTTAAGTTGAGAAGAATCCATGGTGGGCATTACCTAGCTAGGGTTTTGTAATGTATGCTTTTGTTGATTTGTAATAATATGTGTAAACTGTAGTGATGAGAACAAAAATATGACAGGTATAGAAATTGTTCTTAGGTTAGTTTTTATTGTGTTAAACAATTATTTTACTCCGTTTATTTATTCCATTCAAGTTGATACATAACTATACCAGACACTTAGTAGCTCTTTAGCCCAAGTTTTGTTGCTGTTTTCTAACAGTACCTAGTTATGCCAAATTAGATTTGGAAAAATTAAACCTAGGGGCAAAACAGACTGGCACAATACGCCAGGGCTTGGGGGCAGTGTGTTTAGATGCCCCCAGCAAGTGTCAAGCTGCCATTCGCCCGACCACACAGCGGACAGCATTGCAGTGCTCCAGTGGCATGGTGTGTTTCTTTTTGAGCTGGCAAATACCAGAGTGGGGTAATGCGGCCCTGATCCAGCATTCAAAGGGGCAGCATCAAGCTGCACCTTCAGGACCATCTGTTTTGGCCCTTTGTTATTCTATCATAAGGTTTCAAATAAGCTAACAAATACTAGCAAATAAACAATTGTTCCTGATATCTAAATATTTTTTTTCATCCGATTAGTGTTAGATCAACTGAGAATTATTATTTGTATTTCAAAGTATACTGCCCTAGTATGTTATTTCTCAGGACAAAAATAACTTGAGAAATGACTAATGAATACTACCTTTTAACCACAAGAAAAAATACAAAGAGGTACAGAGATTTTCAGACATTGTTAATTCATGTGCATTGTTCTCAACTTCCAATAAGAGTACACCTAGAACATAACACAATCGGCCCTCCTTATCCAAAGTTTTTTTTTATCCACGGATTCAAGCATCCATGGCCTGAAAATATTCCAAAAAAGTATAAATTCCAAATAGCAAACTTTGATTTTCCATTTTATATAAGGGACACCATTTTACTGTGCCATTATATTTAATGGAACTCAAGCACCCACGGATTTTGTTATCCACAGGGGATCCTGGAACTAAACCCCAGTGGATAACAAGGGCCCACTGTAGTTAATTTCTGAACATTTCTACTAAAAAATAATCAGAATGTAAGAACCATAATGGGTGAAACTAAAGGCCTATCTTAGTCTACCATTCTGTTCATCCAGTAGCAAACCAAGTACCTATTATGCAAGTCCCCCAAAAATGACATGAGTGCAAAAGCACCCACTTTTTACATTCCCCGACAACTGATATACAAAACATACCACCACTGAAAATGAAAGTGATCCATAGCCATCCTAATTAACCTTCAATGACCCTATGCACCATAATCTTTTTTTAAAGCCATGCAAGTTATAGCAATACATCACTATATCTTACAGCAGCAAATTCTTCAGTTTGACCATATTATCTTCATTTGCTCAAGACTTTCTGTTTCTGAAAGCAGTTCCCCTCCATAACGTCACTCATATCACTTCTGACTTTTTGATCATCATACTCGCTTTCTCAGCCTCTGGGATGCCTACATTAATGTGTTTTTGTAGCCTCCAAGCATCTTGGGAGAGATCTAACCCTTTTGACTTTCATCTTATCTATCCCTTCAGTGTAGAGAAATGTCCTACAGTATTTAGAAGTCAAAAAAGGACTGTGTTGGAACTCCCTATCACTTTTCCATTAATTAAATCTGATAGCGCTTCAGTTATTGCTTGCAATCACTTCAACCACACTCATATCTCACACTGAGTGCTGGGGAATATAAATTAAGATTACATCAGTTAAGTCCAAGATCATCTCAAATCTGGTTGTTTCCATTAGCAGCAGTTCTAGGGAATAGTCATCTACAATTTTTACTCTGTTGTTGTTAACTGCCCTTGAGTCAATCTTAACTCATGGTGAACCTATGGATGAGACATCTCCAAGACCCTCTGTCCTCTACTGCTCTGCTTAATTCCTGCAACACCATACCCATGACCTCCTTAATAGAGTCCATCCATCTGGCATGTGGCCTTCCTCTCTTCCTACTTCCCTCCACCTTCCTCAGCATTATTGTTTTTTCCAAAGAGTCCTGTCTTCTCATGATGTGTCCAAAGTACGACAGCCTCACAGTTTAGTCATCTTAGCTTCCAGGGAGGTTTCCAGCTTGATCTGCTCTAGAACTCATTTGTTTGAGAATTTTTACTACTTAAGGTTAAAAACAAACAAACTACCAAACAAGCTCCGTCTCTTAACTACATACAGATAATTATTAAAGGGCCTTTTAAACAACGCCTTTGCTCACTTTTTAATATTTAACGGCTACAACTCCATGTGTCAATTGCTGATAGAATCTCATGCTTAACTGAAATCCTGAAAAAAAATTAAATGAAATTTGACTATATACTTTAATTTATACCTTTGTAACTTTTAAGTTATACCTCACTCTTAACACTTATAATTTTCAAAGTACTACGTGCTTTGCTGTTTTTGACATAGTAACTATAAGGGCAAAAATTTTATTCATGCTTTAATGACAAAATGAGATGTTGAGGTAGCCTTTAGCAAGTGATTCCATAGTAGAAATGCACATTGGATAATGTCCTAGCTTCATGTCCACTAATGCTGATTTACATTAGTATTATTAATATGTTTCTCAGTGTTCTTTACATAACCACAATGTGAAAAAACAACTTGCAATTAGTTGATTGTTGTTGTGTACCTGCAAGTCATTTCCAACTTATGGCAATCCTAAGGAAACGTATGATGGGGTTTTCTTAGCAAGTTTCTTCAGAGGGAGTTTGCCACTGCCATCCTCTAAGGCAGAAAGTGTGACTTACCCAAGATCACCCAGTGGGTTTAGCATGGGTGAGCTTAGATTTGAACCCTAGCCTTCAGAGTCATAGTCCAATGCTTAAACCACTATGCCACACTGACTGTACACTCAGAATAACAGAGAATTAAAGACACTAATGTCCAACTTTGGATTCGTTCATTTTTTCAGTATGAAAAAAATCAGGTTTATTTCACTAAAAGTACCATGCCAGTTCTATTATAGAGTGGGCCTTGGTATCAGAGTCTTTACAAAAGAAATATGTTACATTTAGTATAAAATGTTCTATTATCTCACATTTTCTCCACAAAGATACTCAAAACGTTAATATGCTCTACTTAAAAGTTTGAAGAGAAAACTAAACCCTAATCACAAATTTTAAAAGTGTATCTATAAATATCCTCAAAGGGAGTCAAACTGCTTCTCACTCCTTTAAAACTTCTATTAACGCTTTTGGTATAATTTTGTTTAGTCTTTTGATAAAGGACAGTGAAAACTAAACTGTAAGAAAAATATTAAGAATTTTCCAAATCTGTGTCTCAGAATGGCTGACTTCAACTTCACTGTCTCTGTGCTTTTGGTCTTGAATTGAAACTTCGACCTAAGAAGGCAATCAGCATGGAAATCGACTACCCAATTTATAGACAAAAAACAGACAATCAGTAATTCAACACAGTAATGGAAAAAACTGCAAATGTGGTATTACTTTTGAATCCTGAAACACATATATTAATAAGCAATCTAGATTACGGTACTTTTTATGGATCACATGGAAGCCATTATTCTCATACTTAAACTAGATATTATGAGCACAAGTACACTACTAGTAAACATTTTAATAAGCTACTCTTTTAGTACAGGTTGAGTCTCTTTCGGGTAAGATGGATTCAACCTGTACATTCCACTAAGCAATAGAAGGTAAAACTACCAACTCCCTGAACTGTTGAATAAGCAAAAGTGATAAAAGTCCCTTCTACCATCAAAAGAAGGCTGTAGATAAATTAAGTAATCTGACAGTAACTTCTTCAATGTGTTTCTAAAGAAATGAGACTTCACAAGTCGGTTACATGTTGCAAACTCAAATAGGTACGTCTGAGTAACTAAAACATGAATGAAAGAAACCAACAGAAAACATATCAGAAACACCATCAAATGGCTTCATTTTTATACTAACTGTCATTAACTGCACCTGTATAAAATGGTGCACAGGTAATGTGGATATTGGGCTAAATCAGATAGGAACAGAGCATCATCAGATCATGGAATTCCAAAATGCACATTATTCATGTCCAGAAGAAGACCAGGGAAAGAGGGGAAGGTAAAAGACAACAGCCATTTCAACAAGTCAGATGGTTCTGAGAGGCATCCATTTTCAGTCCAGCACTGGGGCCAACAGTGTAGTGGTCTGAGTTTTGGACTATGACTCTGGAGATAAGGATTCAATTCCTGGCTTGGCCACGAAACCCACTGGGTGACCTTGGGCAAGTCACATGCTCTCAGCCTCAGAGGAGGGCAATGGTAAACCTACTCTCAACAAATCCTGCCAAGAAAACTCAATCATAGCATCGCCTTAGGGTCGCCATAAGTCAGAAATGATGTGGACACATAACAACAACATAGCTATTCTACCTTCTTAAATTTTTGAAGTCCGCAACCATAGGCTCTAAGTGCCTGGGTGTGCCAACAAGAAAAGCATCCAAACTTCACCTCTGGACTTCAGATACAATAAATGCAATACAGAAACAAAGGGCATTTTGGCGAACATCCTTACAACTGACATTAAAAGTTATTTACAACAAAAACTGACCAGCAGTTGTTCAGACTGAAATCCCCACCAAGCCTGAACTTTGATCAGGGGCCACTGATCTACATTTTGTTACATGCTTTCAGCCATGTTGAGTAGAAAAAGTAGAGGGGAAGAGATTGCATGAGAGAGTTGTTTCTACTTAACTTTAAACTTAATTTTAAACAAGGGTGTGTGTCAAAGAGTTGGGAACCAGAGGAAGTACCAAGAAAAGAAATCAAAGACATGGCTGGGTTAGTCTGGAAAATCAGCATGCAAAGATATCTTGTAGCACCTTTGAGACTAAGGTCCAAAAAAGACTGCAATATAGATCTGTCTCTGGGCTTTCCACTCCACCAAATGCATCTGAGGAAGTAGGTTCAAGTCTACAAAAGCTCATGCTACCAACTTCTCTCTTTTGCTTAGGTCCAAAACACACTGCAGAAATAATCCAGTTTGAGACTGCGTTTACTGTCCTGGCTCAGTCCTAGGGCATTCTGGGAACTGTAGTTCTGTGAGACATTTAACCTTCTCTGTCAGAGAGCTCTGATACCATAATAAACTACAATTCCCAGGATTCCCTAGCACTGAACCAGGGCAGTTAAAGCAGTCTCAATCTGGATTATTTCTGCAATGTGTTCTGGACCTAAGCAAAAGAGAGAAGTTGGTAGCATGAGCTTTCGTAGACTGAAATCTACTTCCTCAGGTGCATTTGGTGGTATGGAAAGCCCAGAGACAAACCTATATTGCAGTCTCTGTGTGAGAATGCTCACAAGAATGCAAAACTTGTGTGAAGTTTTGAAATGGAAATAAGGTGACAATTTCAGGTTTAATGGTGGTCCTTGAGAGACAAGGCAAGAATGGTCCAAAACACACTGCAAAAACAATCCAGTTTGACACTGCTTTAACTGCCCTTGCTCAGTACTAGGGAATCATGGGAATTGTAGTTTATTGTGGCAGCAGAGCTCTCTGACAGAGAAGGTTAAATGTCTCACAGAACTATAGTTCCCAGAATGCCCTAGTACTGAGTCAGGGCAGTTAAATCTCAAATCTCAGTCTAGATCTCAAACTGGATTATTTCTGCGGTGTGTTCTGGCCCAACGTCCCCTAAAGCCAAGGTTAGTAGATAATCATATGAGCGAATCTGAGGGAGGAGGCCCAAGTCAAGGAAAGCTCATGCTACCAACTTCTACTTTTCACTTAAGTCTCAAAAATCCTGCAAGATCCCTTTGCAGACAGGAAAAGAAAGAGAAAGAAGAGTGGGTGAGGAGGGAAGCAAAGGAAGAACCGTCACAGAAGAAGAGTTTAGTTATCAGTTTTGCTCAGGAAGGAAGCAGCCAAAGGACATGGTTATTTCCCCTCCTCCTCTTCCTCCCTCTGAGAGTCAGGGCCTTTGCAGACTGCCAGAAATAGTGCAATTTAAGTCCACTTTAA